CAAACCCCAGGGGCCCAGCGCCCAGATAACAAAGCCGCCTGGGCCCTCGTGGGCTGGATCTGGTCACCTCGCGAGGCACAACACACAGTGGCTCCAAGACTCGACCGCAAGGACCCCAGGCTTATGCAGCTCCCTAGCAGCGCCAACGATCTCAGACAAGAAAGGCGACTCTTGTGGCCGTCTTGGAGGCCTGGCTGCGTCTCCGCATCGGCTTAACAGTGACTCTTCTTTTGCCAGCAGAAGTCATGACCCCCAGATCTCGAGCTGCATCCTGCAACTTGATCGGGAGGCTTGGTGCACGAAACATTTCAGCAAGGCGACGACTCAAAGAGGCATTGCTGCACACCAGTGCTGACTTGGATGAAAGCGCGCAGCCCATGCTTTGCAGCTGGTGCGCGAAGTGACGGCCGCTGGCACCCGTTTGGTTAACATTTCATCCACGTAGGCATGGTCATTATCCTAACCCAGGACATGCTCTGCATACACCCAGCCAGGATCCGACTTCCACCAGGGATAATATCTGAAACAAAACCTCCAACCTCCAGGGCATCAGGAGAGCTATGAACCAGAATGCCCAGATACAGGAGGTGGAGTGCATATTCCATCTTGACGGCCAGCTCAATCAGCTTATGCGGTTCAACCGAGTCGAAAAAGCGAGTGGGGTCACAGAGCGCACCAACCGAGCAAAAAGGCCGAACATGCCGGCTACCTCGCGTCCCAGCTCTCGAAGCAAGACCGCTTGCATGGCACTGGAACCTCGAATGGCAGTGTCCCAGAAATTATTTCTACCTTGGGTCCAGATATCAATATCATAATTCCTCGCTGTGCAATAAGCTCGGTAAACCGTTGGGCATTCCCCAACAGGACGGACACAGTCCGCGTTTTTCGGGAGCAGGGCCACAAAGCTCAGAAACACTTGGGAGGGCCACGTCATCTCAGCTTCGCACTGATTGAGGACGCTAGTGAACCCCAAAGCGGCGGCACGCGGGAGGTCAATCAGCGACCTAGGGACCAAATGGTCAGTACCCGCAGCAGTGCTGGCCGACAAACAACGGGCACCTCTTCGAACGTCAAGAACGAACGGAGAGGGGTTCTAACCCACGGGCGCGCTCCCCAGCCAAAGGTCTGAGCGCGTCAAGGACTCCAGTGAGTTGCGCCTGGGCATAGGGGGAATTCCAAACAGTCGACCTGACACTATATCGGTACTCCATCATATCCCCAGGGAGCTGACACATTCTAGACGGCGAAACCAAGACCTGGAGGGTATCACCAATATCATATGTTATCCACGGATGGACCTTTTTGGCCCCTTGGAGCAAGGCTCTCAAGAGCCAGGCTTTCATTCCTTGACGGGATTTCTTTCGGGCATCGGACCAAGCTTGGCGAAGTTTGTTATCCACAGCTTCTGAAACCCCCTCGAGTCTTTAACTCTTGCGGCAGGGAAATAAGGCCCTGCTGCCACCAGGCAGCCTCTCCCGGAGACGCGGCGCGCAGGAAGTTGCTCACCTTCTCCGCGAGACCAGTGAGCTGACACCCTATATTCTTAGGCGATTCCCTGGCATTGAACAACTGATACCCACTCCAGATTTGCGAGAGCTGGGCCCAAAAGGCCAGCAGCGGGTCCCGAAAACTCTGGCCCATAGGGCCTCGCCTCGAAATGGTAGCACACTTGAAGTCAGGAAAATCACCATTCTGCACCGAACACTCAGGTCTAGTACACGCAACCGGCCGGGACTCAAACATGGCCTCGGTTGCTCTCAACCGAAGCCAGAACATGGTAGTCAAGTTGCCACTCAGGTGCTCCAGAGCCGCATCTGGAAAAATGAGGGGCAGGAGGTACTTCATCGACCTTCAGGCGTAAAAGATGTTGCTCCCATGGCAGATCAGGCCCATAACAAGCAGGAAGAGGGGAAGGGCGCAATCTCTTCCGCATCCGTTGGCAGTTGGCCTCCTGTTTCAGCCTGACCATCAGGCAAGCGCGGGTCTCGAATGGGCTAGGGCTGTAGGAGGAGACCGAGACGACATCACCCGACTCAGAGGATAAAACAGCAGAACCCATCAGGGACCCACGGCCTTGAGCACACGCACTATCAATATCTTCGGGCACGGCCACGCGCCCCTGGGGCCAGTGGGGGGAAACCTGAGAGGTCCATGCCGGATGCGGGCGCTCCGAAGTCCCCGAAGAGCAGCCAAATAATCGATAGAGAGAACCCCAAGGATCTTTCGCAGCCGGCCGCAGCCGTTCGATGTTAAAACCCTTGTGAGTCCCAGGCCCGAACACAGGATAGACAAAACACCTGCTGCCAAGATGGCGGACTGGGCGCGGAGCTCCAAGGACATCCACTTCGGGCCAGTGCCCAGGTCTCGGAGCCCAGAGTGCGACAACCACCTCCTAAAACAGAACCCCGTGGAGACCGAACCACCTGCACCTCCGCGTGTTTTCCCCCTCCAGGGGGAGGGAGGGCAGGAGAAACGAACGGCCTCCAGCCAATCTGGGCAGCATTGCGCCCAGCTTTGGGCACCTGACATGGTCTCAGGCGAGGCTCAGCCACGAAGAACCCATCCCATACAGGGCGCACAATCTGCAAGAAATCAAGGGCAACTTGGTTCCAAGAGGTGATGTTCCAGAACAGGAAATCCGTACTGTCAGTATCCTTCTTGCGGGGCATGCGGCTGCTAAAGTTGCCGTCGCACTTCCCCCCCAGGCGCAGGTTTAGCGGGTTGAGGCTGCTCTCTTTTAGGCACAGAGGTGTGAGCAGCACTTCCTCGCGCATCCACAGGTGGGGCACCTCCTGCCGGCTGCATTTGGGCGAGGACCCGCTAGAAGGAAGATTGTGTTCTCTCAAGAATGGTACGTAATCGTTTAGCTGACTTGATTTGTGTTGCCTTCTGCATGGAGGTCTCCGTCTTAGCCAACTCATCTGCGGTGAGCCCGTGATCCAAGCTTCGTTTCTTGAGACCCTCCAGCTCTCCACGCTGGCCAGCGCGGAAATCAGACACCAGAATCATGATCTTCGCCACGTAGGTGCAAACGGAACTGCCTGATCTGGGCCCGTTCATCGAGCCGCTGACCATTTCCGCTGCACCATTCACGTAGCCCTCGCTCGGACATGAAGGCAAGGTTTGGCGGCGTCGGTGGCGCAGGTCCAGGCGCTCCGACCTCGCCAGGCGCAGGCTGCTCTGGCAGCCGCATTGGCGGGGCAGTGGCCTCAGCATCCACCCCCATGGGCGCCGCAGGGCGCGGGGCCGCCGCGGGCGCAACGCCACGACCAGCAGCGCGTGGAGCAGGGGCAGGACGTGGGCGAGCAGTCGCCGCAGCTGCCTCCCGTTCCCGCTGAGCACGCTCTGGGTCACGCCGTGCACGCTCAGCTCGCTCCTCCGTGATGATGCTCCCACGGGAAGCACTCGGGTCGAAGGAGCCCCATCGCTTCGTAGGATGAGCGATGGGTGGCAGCCGCCTGCTCGAGCTCGTCCACAGCGGAGGCGCGGGCGAGCTAAGCTGCAGCAAGCGACTCCTCGTGGCGAGAAATTGCCGCCAGTCGAACCGCCACTCGTTCCTGCATCCCCTCGCGCCCATGTGACCCTCGCTCGGCCCCACTTGCTCCTCCTCCTCCTCCTCTTCTTCATCCTTCTCCTTTCTCGCATCCTCGACTCCCTCGTCTTCCTCGTCTTCCCGACTCGCGAACGTCGTGCAGTGCGCTCCGGCTTTGAGTCCCTCCTCCACCGCTCGTGCCAGAGCTGCACGCCGCTGGGCAGCACGCGCGTCGAGCTCACTCTCTGTCCGGCAGGCGGGGGAAGCCCGTGGCCTTTCGGGGAGAGCCGTCGACCTCGCGGCACGAAGGGCGCCTGCACAGTCTGGGCAGCCCTCTCCTCCTCCCTCTCCTCCTCCCTCTCCTTCTCCCTCTGCTCCTCCCTCTCCTCCTCCCTCTCCTCCTCCCTCTCCTCCACCCGCCGATCCAGCTCCGCCTGCGAACCAGGCTGGGTACCTCCTGCATCGCGACCTCGATCACGCTGGGGTACTTCACGAGCTTCACGAGAGCGGCCACCTCCTCTGCACTCTCCTGCGCATTCCGAGCACTTGGCGTGGCTGCGGTTGTCATGTTCCCAATGCCCACATTGGCTGCAGACCGAGTTGGATCCTCCAGCCTTGCCGCCACGAGCCGACTTGCGCTTGGGTGCACGCCAGCGCCAGGACATAAAACAAAGGTGGGGGCGACAGCGAGAACTGCGCTCCGCCAGGAGCTCACTGGAACGAGAATGGTTCAAACTGAGAGCCTAGGCTACGGAAGAGCCAAAGCTAATCGTTGATTGTCGGGCGTCTAGCCTTGAGCCAAAAAATGCGTTCTCGGGCTAAGCCCTTCACAACGTTTAGCCTTGAGCCAAAATGGCTTGAGCCAACATGGCTACGGAGGAAGCAGGATGGAGGAGGAGGAGGAGGAGGAGGAGGAGGAGGAGGAGGAGCAGGAGGAGGAGGGGGAGGGGGAGAGGGAGGGGAAGGGGAAGAAGAGGATGAACAGGGGGAGGAGCAGGAGGAGTTCCCTGGGTCCGCCTTCGGCCTCCCTGGGTCGCATCCAGGGGCGCGAAGTTAATCGCCCATCGCGTACCGTTGCTTCGGTTGGAGGGGCACCCTTTCTCCAGGGAGGAGGCGCGCGGGCGCGCCGGCGGGAGAATCTGCAGGGCTCTCGCGGGCCCCTTCCCGCGGAGCTGGGGGTCGAACGGCTTGGGGCGGTGGGCTGGCCTCGGGGAGCTCCCCCCCCCTCTGCACTTGGCATCGCTCGGACGTGTGCATGCTCTTTCGTCGGGGGCCGCCCAGGAAGGTCCTGAGTCATCTTGCGAGGAAGGCACGCGCGAGACCGAAAAGTGCACGGGGAGTGGACGTCCGAGCGATGGCAGGTGCACGGACCTCCATCACACCTCCCACCCCCTGTGGGCCCCGCGCGCCGCACCAGGCAACTCCTCCCCCGCGGTCGCACGCCCAGGGCCCAGGACCCGCTTCCCCCATGCCAGAGGACCCCGTGAACCTGTCGCGCGCAGAGTCGAACACGCAGACATACCCGGCGGTCGTCGGCGTGCTCGTCAGGTTCATGGGCAAGCAGGTGCAGGCGCTGCTGAAGGCGACGGCCAGGAAGACCACGTTTCGCACCGAGGGCGCCGTGCTGCTGCTGCGAGCCGTGCGCTCTGCGCGCCAGGCCGGGCACCAGCTGCCCAAGGCGGCCCAGAAGCTGTGGCAGCACATCGAGGAGACGCTGCGCAGCGACGCCGCGGCGCACCGCCAGCTGCAGGGGGCCATCACCCACTACTGCCGCATGGCCGTGGAGCTCGCCCAAGGTGGCGCCCTGGGCTACACGGCGGAGCTCCGGGGCGACCTGCTCCGGCGGCTCCTCCGCGCTCTGCTGCAGCCGAGGCCCGTCGAGGCGCAGGCCGCCGCCCTCGACGCCGCTGCGCAGATCCACCGCGGCGCCCTGGTGGACCTGAGCGGCGAAGTGCCACTGGTCTGCCAGGGCCTGGTCGACTTAGTGCAGGGCCTGGGCGACCGCAACCAGAACGCGGTGCCTTTGGTCGGCTGCCTCGCCGCGGTGGCCACGAGGAGTCCATTCGCCTTCCGGGACTGGCTGCTCGGCGACGGCCGCGCGGAGTTGCTGGCCGGGCTGGCATCTCGGCTGTGGTCCATCAAGACCCTCGAGGGCTTGAGCCTGGTCCTGCGCCTGGCCCTCGGCTTCCAGGCTCCGCCACAACAAAATATACACAGACACCTTCCACTGGACTGTTCCTGGGCCTCATGGGGAACGTGGCGGTGCATAAATCACCACCGGGAGCCAGCGACTCTGTACACCGTCGCCCTCCATAAAAGTACATGCAAAATTCGTCGGGGGGTGTCTGTGTGTATACATATGTGTGTGCACATATATATATAGAGAGAGAGAGAGATTCGTGGCGTACAGGCGCCCCTGCCCCCCGCGAGCGCCAGCGAGCTCATCCCCATGATCGTGGATTCCCTCGAGTCCCTTTGGCGGTCCGACGACCGCGGCAGCCCGCCGACAGTCGACGCGCGCCAGGGAGCGCCGCACAGCGACGCGGTCCGGATGGCCGATCTCTTGGCCTCCTTGCTGCTCCGCTCGGAGGGCTCCTCGCGGGCGGCCGCGCAGCGCCTCTGCGAGAAGCTCGAGCACCGCGTCGTGCCGTGGGCCCTGTGCGCAGTGCGGCTGTGCGAGGCCCACGCGGGCCCCGTGCAGCACGGCGGGCTCGGCGACGCGGAGCTGCTGCAGCTCGTGGCCGCTCTGGGCGCGCACCTGACGCGCGGCGCGCGGCCCGGAGCGGATGCCCTCCCGGCGGTCTACCTGGCCCTGGCTGCAGCGCTGACGGCTCACGCGTGGGCGCGCCTGTGGCCTGCAGGGGTGGGGCTGCCCTCCGTCCCCGTGCCGCTGAGCTCCGTGTGCGGGGACGCGCTCGTGCTGTCGGCCGCCCCGGGCCTGGTCTCGCTGCCGCCTCTCGAGCCGGCCTCCGGCGCGGAGGGCGCGGAGTGGGCGCGCTGGCAGCAGGCGCTGGCCGAGCACGCGGCCGCCTCGCTGTCTGCCAGGCCGGCCCCGCGCGGGCTGCACCGGCTGCTCGGCGTGCTCCTGATCGCCGCGCCGCGGAGCGCCGTCGAGGACGCGCGGTGCGCGCTGCTGCGGCATGCCGCGCAGGCTCCTGCCGCGGTCGTGGGCCAGTCCGACGCCCCGGCGAGGTGCTGCCTGTGCGCAGCGGTCAGGCGGCAGCGGCCCGACCCGAAGGCGCAGTGCGAGCTGCTGAAGGGCGTCTCCGCCGAAGCCGTGGACGTCCGGGTGGCCTTTTTGGCGCTCTGCGCCGCGGACAGCCTGGAGACCCAGGCTCTGCCCGCTCCTGCGGCAGCCACAGACTGGGAAGAGGTTGAGGGTTTCTCCGAAGGGCTTAGGCGACCCGTCCTCCTCCCTCTCTCTCCTCCTCCTCCTCCTCCTCCTCCTCCTCCTCCTCCTCCTCCTCCTCCTCCTCCTCCTCCTCCTCCTCCTCCTCCTCCTCCTCCTCCTCCTCCTCCTCCTCCTCCCCCTCCCCCTCCTCGCCCTCCCCTCCTCGGGTCGCCTTCGGCCCCGGGGGAAACCGTCCAGGAAGAGGACGACCTGTGCGCGGTGGACGTGGCAGAGGAAGCCCCAAGCTGCGTCGACGTGAGGGCAAGGTGGCGCGAGAGGCACGCGGCCGCACTGGGACAGCTCGAGGCCCAGAGGCTGGCCGCCGCCCTGGACGCTGGCCACTCGGATGCGGGAGGGGCCCTCGTCGACGAGCTCCGCCTGCACGCAGCCACGCAAGCCGCCTCCTTCCGCGAGCCTGTGGGGACGAGCTCTTTGCGCAGCGCGGACCCGGAGGGAGCAGATGCCAGGTTACTCTTGGCTCCTTTCGCGGAGACTTCGAAGTCTGCGGCCGTCTACGAGGCTGCTCTGAAGCTCCACTTCGATGAGGCAGACGCTTTCCTGTCCGCCAGGCAGGAGAGCTTGGCCAAGGCGCTGCCTCTCGCGGCTCAGCTTCTGCCCACCATGGGCGTGGCGCTGCGGTTGCCCCACGACGTGGCCGCGGCGCGCGATGTCTTCTGCCCGACCCTGATCTGCCTGCTGGACCTCGCCTGCCAGCTCCTTCGGGGCCACTCGCCCAGCTCGCAGAGGGCCGGCGCCTTCTTCGACGACCTGGCCGACCTCGTCTGGCTCGCGGCGGCCCTGGCTCGCCAGGGCGGGGGCGGTGGCGCCACGCTCTCTGGCCACGGGGTGTGGCCGAAATGCCTGGTGCTGGCGGAGGCCATCCGCCAGGCCTGGCTCGGCGCCGGCTCGCGGGGCGGCGGTGCTCCGCGCTCGCGCACCGAGCAGCCGGACCTCTTCGACGGCGGCCGGCGGCTGCGAAGGGTGTGGCTGCGCGCGGGGGGCCTTTCGTTTGCAACCTGCGTCGTTGGGGCTCCTGGGGGCACCACGCGGCCCTCGTTGGGCCCCGGGGCGCGGCGGAGAGCTCCGCCGAGGCCCCCGCCCCGCCCCCGAGGCTGCGCGCTGCAGGCCACACCCTTCGGAGCCGCCGAAAGGCGGGGACGGGCGGGAGCGCCGCAGGGAGTCCGGCGCCAGGCAGGCGGGTACGGACCTCCAGCGCTCGTCTGGCCTTCGGCTGCTCTTGGCTCTGGCGTGCGCCGAGGCCGCCCAGGACGCCAAGGGCGGGCCCCGCGGCGAGGGCTGCGAGGGCGGCTGCCCCCAGCAGGTGCTGCGAGGGCTGTTGCTGGACTGCGCCAGGGCCGAGCCGGCCGCGGCCGTGCAGGCCTTGGGCCTGGCGGCGTGGGAGCTGGCGGGCTGCGCGGCAGGGCCAGCTGGCTGCCCCGCGCACTTGCTGGCCGCCGTCGCCGAGTGCTGGTGCGCGGTGGACGAGCCGATGCTGGGCCATCAGCTCGACGAGATGCTGCTGAGCGCACTCCGGCTCGTGACCGCTGCCACGCGGATCAGCCGCGAGGCGTTGCAGGCGGTGAGCCGCCACTTATGGGTGGGCGGTAGGACGGCCGTGGCGAGGCTGACCGCGTTGTCTCGCCGACTCTGCGGCGGAGACATTGCACTTGTGAGTCCGCAGGGGAAGCAGACCTTTGCGGCATTGTTGACGAACTGCATCAGGGAGCTGAAAGGCGTCCCGGAGTTCAACGCTACGGTGGAGTTTCTTGCGGAGTGTTGCATGTCTACGATCCCCGATCTGATATTGACAGATGGCAGCTGCGAGGTGCGCTTCAGCGTCGGCTCAATGTTCACCAGGGCCCTCTTCGATTTCTTCAATGTCAACGACGAGGTCTTCAACGAATTCGCCCAGTCGCTGACATCTCTGGAGGATGGTGGAGAAGCTTCAGACGCGCACCCCACGTCGTCAGCGCTGGCCACGGTGCGCGTGATGGTCGAGGTGGCGTGCCAGGACGGCTACATGGCCCGAATCTTGCCTCGCCTCTGTGCCCTGGCCCCCGGCCTGCGGCCCACCGTGCGCCTGGCGCTGCGTTCCCTGGACGAGCCCCTGGGGCCCGCCGAGGGGGGCTGCTCGTGGACCGCGCTCGCCTTCCGCACTGGCATCTTCGCCGCGCAGCTGCGGCGCGGGCACCAGCTGACCGAGCTGCGGCTGGAGGAGCCAGGAATGGAGCAAGAGTGCCAACGGCACGCTGCCGTTGCTGGCCCGTCAGCGCGTTGCTCCATCGTTCTGTCAGAATGGGGCAGGTGCTTCTTCCACGGTAACGCGCCGATGGAGTCCCACGGCGGCGTGTCATTGATACTGCTTCTGCTCCCCGCAGGAGTTCCTGCTGGCACTGCCGTCCGCGGGCCCGCGAGCGGGCGTCGGCCGACACTTCGCCGCCGCCGTCGCGGCGCTGGCGCTGTGCGAGGAGACCGGGCAGCTGCCGCAGCTGGCCGAGGCAGTCGGCGCGCGGGCCGACTCTCAAGAGTTCCACGCGCAGGTGTTCGTGCCACTGGCGGGGACGCTGCTCCCGCTGCAGCGGAGCCTGCAGCCGCTGCGCAGGCTCTTCTCCGAGGAACCGGAGGGCCGAGTCCGTGACCCTGCTCCGGGCTGGGGATGCGGTTCGATGTGGGGCCCGAGCTTCTCCACGCCGACGTCGCCGATGCATTGCCGACGTCGCCAGTGCATGGCCGATGCATCGCCGATACATCGGCGATGCATGGCCGATGTATCGGCGTTGCAGCGAGATCCTCCGACCCCATCTACTCGGACCCCATCTAGGAGGCCTCTAGGTTGGGAGAGTGCTCTTCTGCACTCTTATTGCACGTACAGTCAAGCCGCACAGCAATGATGAGCGACTCTCCCAGGTTACTCTCTTGCATCCCTCCCCTTCGACCCATCCCTGGCCGCTTTCGCTGGCCCCGCCCTGCCCACAGAGTGTCGGCGTGGCCTTCCAAGGCCCCTGCATCCCCAGACCTCCGACGTCATGAATTTCTCATAACGTCGACTCTCGACCCACTCCGTTGGACTGGTTTTTCATCCCGAGTCGTTTCTCGACGGTCCCGAGGACCGGCGAGGGCCCCCCGAGGCCGAAAACAGTCAAGAACTGTCCGTCGTGTTTTTGTTCATGACCCGAGGCAGTCTGGGTCCTCATCGCGCCTCCTTGCTTTGCGGGCTGGCTGTGGGAGCGACCTCTCCGCTGGAGTGGTTCGAGTGGAAGTGAGGTAGGACGCGTGAGTCAGAGTGAACCCCGAGCGGCGCGCGGTGTGCGGCCCCGAGCTCTGCCACGTGAACTCTTGCTCGCTGGGCCTGAACATCAGCAAGCTCCGAGCCCGCGCCTCGGCCTCGCGGCGTTCAACGGCGCCTTCGGCGCCCGGCAGCAGCAGCAGCTCGGCGACTTCCTTGTAGATCGGTGACTTTTTGAAGCCGTGGACCTGCAGCCAGATTCCCTTCGGTAGGTAGCGGGGGCGAAAGAGCTGGCCCGGCGCGCGTTCCTCGTAGTCCCGCGCGTCCTCGCGGTGGAACCCGAAGGACACGATGGTGGCCCGTTGCTCCTGCACGAGCCCCAACTTTTTCTTCAGCTCCTCCTGCACTGCTGTGAATCGCACCTCCATCCCGACGTGGGCCGGCAACACGCCGTGGATGTCCCCCGTTTTGTGCATGTTCGGGACGTTCAGGAGCCGCCGACCCGCGTCGGGATCGCCCTGAATCGTGCTGCGCTCGTCAACGGCCCGGACGCAATGGGCTACCCCTGCGCCCGATTCGGCCGCCGATGGGTTACCACCGGCGGCCCAGAGACAAGGGGTTACCCCTGCCCCCGATTCGGCCGAGGATGGGTTACCACCCCCGGCCTGGACACAAGGGGCTACCCCAGCGCCCGGCCGCTGTTTCGTCGTCGTCGTCGTCAGCTCTTCAGTCTCCCTTTCGGGCACGCAGGCCCATGACAACAACAACTTTGCCGATGACGAGCTCAGACGAGGCTACCCGCACTTCTGTGCCACCCTTTCGGGCACGCAAGCCCAAAAGAGACGACGGTTACAAGAATTTGATGACCCGCTCGCATTACCAACATGAAGTGCGGGACCCATAGGGAGGGGGCTCCCGCCTGAGACTTTCTCACAATTCACGCACAGACGAGGCTCCCGCTTGATACTTCCTCCAAATTCAGGCCTGAGGAGCCCAAACGTGACGACAGTTACAAGAATTGGATGACCCGCTCGGACTACCAACATGAAGTGCGAGACCCATAGGGAGGGGGCTCCCGCCCGTGACTTCTTCACAATTCACTCACAGACGAAGCTGCCGCTTGATACTTCCTCCAAATTCAGACCTGAGGAAGCCAAAAGTGACGACAGTTACAGGAATTAGATGACCCGCTCGGACTACCAACGTGAAGCGCGGGACCCATAGGGAGGGGGCTCCCGCCTGAGACTTCCCCAGAATGCACTCACAGACGAGGTTCCCGCTTCATACTTCCTCCAAATTCAGGCCTGAGGAAGCCGAAAGTGACGACAGTTACAGGAATTGGACGACCCGCTCGGATTACCAACATGAAGTGCGGGACCCATAGGGAGGGGGCTCCCGCGTGAGACTTCCCCAGAATTCACTCACAGACGAGGTTCCCGCTTGATACTTCCTCCAAATTCAAGCTAGGATGACGCAGCCATGACATGAGCGACGGATGATGAGTGAGTGAGTGAGTGGGTGGGTGAGTGATTGAGTGAGTTAGTGATGATGATGATGATGATGATGATGAGTGGGTGAGTAAGTGATCGAGTGATGATGGTGGTGATGATGATGATGATCAAGATGGTGTGTGTGAGTGAGTGTGATGGTGATGGTGCTGATGATGATGGTGATGAAGAATGATGGTGGTGCTGCTGCTGATGATGATGATCAGTGACCGAGTGACGATGGGTGATGGTGATGATGATGGTGGTGATGATGATAATGTTGATGATAAATATGATGATGATGCTGATGATGATGACGATGATGATGATGATGATGAGGGATGAGCGGGTGATGATGTAGGTGTGTTCTGGTTCTGGTTCCTGCGCGGGGTGTCCAGAGAAAACAAGAACCCCACTTTGGATGTGGGGAAACAAAGATAGCAAGACATATAAGCAGCGTGCTCTGTGGCCCGAGCAGCTGATTTCTGCAGGTGCTCACGTGAGCCCCCCCCTCCCGAGACGCGCCCCGGGCGAAACCCAAAGGGGGCAGCCCAGGGACGATCCGGGGGCAAGATGCAGACAGGTTTGCGTCTGTCTGTTGGGGCCGCCGAACGTGCGCTATGAGCATGTGCTGGTTACAGTGTGCACATGTGCGGCTACTGGACAGTGATGCAGGGCCCACGGCCAGCAACCAAGTCAGGTGCGGGTGTCATGCTCGCCCTTGTTCGTGTGCTGCGACAGAGACTGAATTGAAGTCGGGCCTGCCCCCCTACAGGGGGATTTGGGGCGAAAAACTAGAAACTTTCAGAACATATGCCCCAAATTCTAAACAATAGTAAAAAAATAGTCCCCAGATTATTGTTTGATAGCCACAGGTGTCTTTTCGCCTGGGGAGGCCTGGCCCCCCCGCGCGCCCCCCTGGCGCCCCCGCACCGGTGGCCGCCCACGGGCCCCCAGCAGCGCACGGCTCTGCCTGCGGAGCAGCGGGTCGCCGCACGGATGCCGGGCACACGCCGACACCACACAGAGGACGGGACCGAGAGAAGTCTCAAGTCGGGCCTGTCCCTCTGCAGGAGGAAAATTCCAAAAATAGTCACCAAAAATAGTCTGGGGACTATTTTTTGAGAATGTGTTGACCATTTGGGGGGCATTTGTTGATTATCTTTTATTCTTCATCCAAAATCCCCCTGTAGGGGGACACGCGCGACTTAAGAGAAGTCTCCAGATCCACGGCCGATCTTTCTGTCTCTAGTCTGGGGCTGGAGGTCAGGGGTTCTGCCTGCCAGGAGTGGCTCATGAGCTGCTGCTCCACGTGGGCCGCCAGCGTCTTCGCGTTCGCGCTGCAGCTGCCCTTCTTGACCCTGGGCCTCGGCTGCGAGGTGGACGCCCGGAGGGTGGCGACCGCTCTCGCGGAGCTGCATCCGGCTCTGCCCTGGGCGCGGCTCCGCGAGTTCGTGAACCAGCACTTCCGCCTGCTCTGCGCGCAGCTCGACCGCATCATGCGGGCGTGGTCGCGCTGGGCGCCCGCGACGGCAGTGGATATGCTTAGGACCTTCGCCGGCTGGTTGGCCCCCCTGAGCGGCAGCCGGCTGCGGCTGTTCTTGCCGCTGCTGCGACGGCAAGCGGATCGGTTGCCGCCGACGCAGTCGAAGGCGATCGCTGAGCTCGCTGTCGTGGTGGAGACTGTGGTGAGCGCGAGCGGCAAGGATGCGCTGGTTCATCTGGCAGCTCACCAGGACGAGTCGCTCGGAGAGGCCGTGCGGGCCGTCGAGCGAAAGTGGTCCATGCCATCGCTCGCCTGTGGGCCCGCCGCCAACTGCCCAGCTCTCAGCGCATTGCGGGCGGCAATGCGACGCCTGCGCCGCGCCCCGGAGGTCGCCGATGCACGCCCAGGAGACTGGCTGTTTCTGCAGGTGGAGTCTATACTGCCCGGGCTGAGCCCCGCAGCGCAGGAGGTGCTCGCGGAGGCCCGCGGCCTGAGCGAGGCGATGGACGGCAGCGGGCGCCCAGTAAAAAGACGGCGCCTGGGCCGCGGCGACAGCACTTGCGCTGCGGCGGCGGCAGTGTTGCACCCGGGGCGCCTCGCCTGGGGTGCGCCGCCAGACCTCGACCTTGGGGCCGTGGCACGCTGCGCTGTGGCCGGTGCGGGGGCTGATCCTGCAGCTGGCGCGGCAGCCGCGAAGGCCGGCGCGGGGCTGGCGCGGGTCTTGCACTGCGCGCTGCGACCGCAGATGGCCGAGCAGATGGCGCGCGACGGGGAGCTGGCGCGGACAGTCGCCCTCAGCGTGGCCGCCACGGATCTGGCGGACGTGGCGCGGTTGGACCTCGAGGCCGAGGGCGAGGCGCTGGATGGCTTCGCCTTCATCGACGCGGCGATGCGTGAGGAACGAGGCGCCCAGCCCACCGTCGACGAGCTCCTCTGCTGCGGCGCACTGCTGGGCGCAACCCAGCTGCAGGTTCACCGATCCGCCGCCGTGCGGCGTCGTGCGCTCGCTGTGCTGCACGGTCTGCACCAGCAGCAGCCGCAGCTGTTCGGCCAAGCGCGCGACCTGCTGCACCGCTGGCTGGATCCGCAGCACCTCTGCCTCGAGGACCTCCACGACATCTCCATCCCGGGTCACCTCGCGCCTCGCCAGGACAGCGAGCAGCGGGAAGCGGGATGGCCGCCGTTCCACGAGCAGGCGGGCAGCGATTTTCCGACGTGGGTGCGGGACGTCACCTCCAGGATGATGGCCGTCGGGGCTGGCGCGTGTGACGCCACGTCTTTGGGTGTGATGGCTGCAAGCGTGCCACTGGCCCGGAGCGTGGACTGGTTCGCCAAGGGGATGCTCGTTCTTGTTGTGCTGAAGGCGGCGGATTCGGAAAGTGCTGGCAAGCAGTTTGCGGAGGCGCTGAACTGTCTGTTCAGGCAGGAGAACGCGGAGCTGTCGCGACTGCGCGCCATGATCCTCTCGCTGCGCTACATCCGCTCGTACCAGACGGTCAGAGAGGGGCGAGTGGTGCCACACTTCCCCATGGACAGCGACAACCAGTTCTGGTCCGCTCTGGACCTCCGCGCCGTGGCGGAATCCGCCTCGCGAGTAGGCTGGGCGCGCGACGGCCTGCTCTACCTGGAGCTGCACCTCGCGATGATCAGGCCCGACGACCCCATCGACCAGACGCTGGTCCCGGACCAGGCGAAGCTCCGCGTGGACCAGCTGTTCTCCCCCCCCACGCCCGAGGTGAAGCTGCTGCACCGGCTGGCCGAGCAGCTCCCCGACGACGAGCTCCTCCACGGGTCCTCCCAGTGGTGCCACCCGACCTCGCGGCTGGTGCGCGCCGAGCTGGGGCACGACCACCTCGCCACCCTCCACCTGCGCAGCGAGCTGCGCGCCGCGGCGCTCCATGCCCGGAGGCCCCCGCCGCTGCCCACCGCCCCCGGCGCGCCGGACGCCGGCGAGGGCGACGCGGGGGCCGGCCTCCAGGACGCCCTGGCGCGCCTCGGTCTCCACGGCGTCCTCGCCGGCGAGGCGCCCCCCATGGAGGCCGACGCCGCCGTGTGGGAGCGGCGCGCGGAGAGCCTGTGGAGGCTGCGGCAGTGGGACCCCGTCTCCGCCCCGAGCTCGGAGGGCTTCCAGGTCCGGGTCCACGGCGCGCTCTGCAGCATCGCCGCCGCGGCCTCGCCCTCGCGCGGCGTCGCGGCCACGGCCGCCGCCGCCCTGGAGCGCCCGCTGCTGCCGCTCGTGGCGCAGGTGTCCATGAGCGCGCACGCTGGCTCTCCCGAGCAGCAGCGCTGGGGCTCCGTGCGCCTGGGGATGCTGGGCTCGATCTTCAGCGTCCTCGACGCCAAGGCGGAGGACGCAGCCCGGGGGAGCAGGGCGGCGTCGAGGGCCCTCTCGGCACACTGGGCCGCCGCGGCCGGCCGCGCGCTGCCGGCGCGCCACTTCCTTCTCCTGGAGCCGCTGCACGCCCTGCGGGCTGCGCTGCTCTCGCTGGTCGCGGAGCCCGACGAGGAGCGGAAGCTCCTCGTGCGTGCCGCGTCGGCGGCCCGCGCCGCGGCGCAGTCGCACCGCGCCCTGGGGCTGCTGGAGCAGGCGCACCGCGTCCCCGGGTGCTCGCAGCAGCGCCTGGAGGTGCTGAAGCTGCACTGGGAGCGGGCCCAGTGCCTCCGCGCGCTGCAGCAGCAGGAGGCTGTGAGCATCGCGCGAGCCATCTCTGCGGAGTGCCGGCAGCGGCCGCACGAGGGCGCGGGAGTGCAGAGCTGGGCGGCCAGCGTGCTCAGCGAGACGGGTCATTGGCTGTCGGTCTCTCGGCAGGAGGGTCCAGACGTGATCCAGAGGGAGTATCTGGAGCGGGCGGTGGCCATGGACCCGGCGGGGGGGCAGCCCAGGAGACAGTTGGCAGACTTTCTCGACGCCCGCTTCTCCGAGGAGCTCGCGAGGCAAAGCTCCCTGGAACACACGATTGCCATGGGCTTGCGCAAGGCGACCGAGCAGCAGCTGCAGGGGGTGAGGGATAAGGTCAAGGAGCTGTCCCGCAGCCCAGTCACGTCCCAGGAGTCGAAGGATGACATGGGCGCGATGCGGGAGCAGCAGCAGCGGCTCGAGTCCCTGGTGAACCATGATCAGGCCAAGGCAGAGAGTGAGAAGAAGCGCCTTCAAAGCCTCGCCGTCGGCTGCGTCACGGAGCTGGGCAACTGTCTCGCGGAGGGCACCACCGGCAACCTGACCAAGGTGGCGTGCCGGCTGCTCTCGCTCTGGTTCTACTGCAAGAGCGAGTACCCCGAGGTCACGAGCGTCGTGCGCCAGGCGATCCCGAGGCTGGCGCTGCGGCACCTGACAGGGAGACGAAAAATGCCATAAACATAAAAACTCGGAGGTCCGCGCGGATTTCTTGGATCCGCGCTGGACCCCCCTCCCTGACGCGCGGACCGCGCCAGGGGCGGCGCCGGAGGCGCCGCCAGGGGGCGCCAGCGCCGACCTCCGAGTTCGTACGTTTATGTCATTGTTCGTTCCCCTGCCTGAGCCCCTTCATCTACCAGCTGGCCTCGCGGCTGGACCTGCAGGAGGGGCCCTTCCAGGACACCCTGGACGACCTTCTGGTCCGGCTGGCGGCGCACAGCGCCCCCGCCTTGTGGCCGCTGCTGGCCCTCCGGAACGGCGACCAGGCACTCGGGTGAGGTCGGGCATGTCCTCCCACAGGGGGATTTGGGGCAAAAAATAAAAAACATGAATACCCAAACATAGTCAAAATTGTTGAATAATCATCCGCAGGATATTGTTTGACTAGTTTGGAACATTCCTCCTGCAGAGGGACGTGCCCGACTTAACACTCGGGCGAAGAGAGCTCTGCACATACACGGATCCTGTCCAGGCCCGTCTTGGGCCGGGAGTCGGCGCGGCATGTGCCTCCCCCTATGCTTGGAGGGCGCGCCGTCTCCAAGATTTCCGGTGCATCCTTCCCTGTTCGGCCCATCATGGGCCGCTTTCGCTGGCCGCGCCAAGCGCGCAAAGCGTGGGCATGGCCTTCCAAGGCCCTTGCATCCTCCTCGTGCGTCCTCATGCTACAGGTGGACTGTATGCAATGATCCCAGGCTCAGGATGGACCGGACCAGGATCGGTGTGCGTGCCTAGCTCTCTCTGCCTCCCAGGTGCAGGGCATGCGAGGCGCGGGCCTGTTCCAGTCCAACGCCGCGAAGATAAAGGCCGCCCAGCGCGTCCTGGACCGGCTGTGCCGGGACAGGGAGGTCCGCCGGAGGCTGCAGGCGCCGCAGACACGCTGACGGCGATGTGGGCAACGGCGATGCAGGTGTTGGTCTTGTGTCGGAGGTGGATAGACCTCCTACCATGACACGTCGATTAAGGAATTGGCCGTTTTCGGTTCGCGAGAGGGCGTCGCGGCCGTCATTTTTGTGGGTCCAGGTCTGTCGGTTTCGGTCCCAGGCCGTTTTCACTAAGGGGAGGTTTACTAAAGGGAGGTTTGTCCACCGCCGATTGTGAGAACGTGTGGCTCATGCTTTTCTACAAATCGCTGTGTCGTTTTCGTTCGATGCATCTGCAGATTGGACATGCAGGAAGGTGTGGATCGCGATTTCCTACAAGCTGGCGCCCAACATCACCGTTAAGCAACATCGCCGTTAGTGTGGGTCGGGCCGGACGAAGGGGGGGGATTGGGAAAGGGGGGGGTGCGAAATCTGCTGCATGCAGCTGGCTTCGGCCCCACCGAGGGGCCCAGTCCTCGGTACACAGCCGCCTCCGGCGCCGGCAGGCGCCGGGAAAACCAGCTCTAGGTGAGCTGATTTTTTACCCCCCCCTTTGCTATCCCCCCCTTTCGCCCGGCCCGAGTGGCCTTGGATCGACTAGACGTAAGAGTGACCCTTCGCCGGAGTGACCTTTGGTGCGGTGCGGGCGCAGATGGGTCCCCAGCTGGCTGAGAACGAGGCAGCGGCAGCTGCTTGCGCGCCCAGGTTTGGTCCCCCCGCGGCCCCCCAAAAGCCGCGCACCAAAGGTCACTCTTGCCCAGGGTCACTCTTACGTAATGCGGGATGACGATTTATAAAAAAATTGGAGAGAACGGTTTAAAACATAGTTTCCGCTATTTCTGCACAATTTTCTGACTTGAGGAGGACGATTAAAAGAATTGTCTTCCAGCCCGCGGCCAGTTTTTTCGAATCGTCATCCCGGGCGCCGCCGCGCGAACACGACCCCCGGTCATTTATTAATCGTCATCCTCCATTATAGCCGATTGGAGGCGCAAATTATTTGTTTGGTTTTTATTATGCATTTCCTGTTTATTCATGTTAACTGTGCTCATCTAGTTTTGATTCGATGGTTCTATGAATCTTGATAGATTTCCTGCTTATTCATGTTACATGTGCTCACCTAGTTTTGCTATCCCCCCCTTTCGCCCGGCCCGAGTGGCCTTGGAGGCGCACGAGCTCCAGGAAAACAGGGGAAAACACACAGACACAAATAATCGTCGATCCTCAGGAAAAGATGGGAAAAGATGGGAAGTGGGGAGGAAGACAAAAACCCGGAAAATATGGTAAACTATAGGGGAATATGTTTATTTGTGTGTATTTATTTGTGTGTTTGTGGGCCCCTTCACTTACGTATAGCCGATTAGAGGCGCACGAGCTCGTGAGCCGCTTCTACCTGGAGGTCGCCTTCTGCGACTTCCCGGACCGGCGCAGGGCGCAGAGCCTGACCGCCCTCGCCACCTACGGCAGCGCCCGGGGCGTCTTCTCCCAGGCGGGGGGGGGCGCCATCCAATCCCCAGCCTTTTTCGGTCGGCGGGTCGAGAGTGGGCCTCTTCCGGTTAAGAGCTAGGCGGGGCGCGCGAAGCATTAATTGGGGAGACAGGGCGCGGGCGGGCGGGGCCTCAGGCGGCCGGAGGGTGCGGAGTACAGGCGGTGCCAAAGAGCTTGCACAGGAAAGGGTACGCCTTGGACTGGAGCCGGGGGCGAAGTCCCGGAGGAAGAGTGAATTGGTGTTGCCGTCAACGGTGCGCCAGGCCAATCCAATCCCCAGACAGGACCGCGTCGTAAAAAAAGAACACACAAAAAAAAACAGGGCCGGAGGGTTTGGGCCATTTTCGGCCACATGGGGGCCCTCGCCGGGCCTCGGGACCGTCCAAACACGACTCGGGACGAGAAGCCAGTCCCGGGGAAAGGGTCGAGACTTCCAGGGACGCCGTCCTCCAAAAAATCAGGACTTCGCATGTCTGGGATTCGATCGATCCGATCCAATTCGATTTCGAGGTCGGCGAGATTGATCCGCTTCGATTCCGATGTTCTGGTGATCCGGCGTGGCCGATGCTCCCACGGCGCTGTCCTGCATCCTGGCGCGGCGAATCCGATTGGATTCTCGCCCACCGCCGATGCAGCCCGATCCGACGCACATCATGATCCGATCCGATGTCCCGGTTCGAAGCTAACTGACCCTGAGGTGCAGGTCCCGACGATCGCCCCGAGCAGTGACGGCAGCCCAGCGCCAGTCATCAAGGGCATCGAGGAGAGCTTCAGGTGCGCCGCGCAGGGCCTCTCGGCACCGCGCGTGCTCGTCGTGCACGACGCGGACGGCGGCGTTCACAGGCAGCTGGTGAAGGGCAAGGACGACAGCAGGCAGGACGCGGTCATGCAGCAGGTGTTCCGGCTCCTGAACGACGTCTTCATGGACGCGTCCGCTGCAGGGGAGGGCGAGGGCGGCGCCGCGCGCAACCTGCGGCTCCGCACCTACCAGGTGGTCCCCCTCGCGCCCTCCGCCGGCATCCTGGAGTGGGTCGTCCCCACAGCCACGCTGGGGGAGCTGCTCGTGGGCAACTCGGCGGCCCCGGGCGCGCACCCGCGCTACCGCCCGCTCGACTGGCCGGGAACGCAGTGCCGCGAGGTCATGGGGAGGGCGCGCGAGGCGGTCGACAAGAGGCGCGCGCCCGCCTCCGTCCTCGAGGCGGCGCTGCTGGAGTGCTACGCGAACCACAAGCCCGTGATGCACCTCGTCTTCATGGAGCTGTTCCCGTCCCCGGCGGGCTGGCACGCCGCCCGCCAGCACTTCGCCAGATCGGCCGCGGTGAGCTCCATGGTCGGCTACATACTGGGCATCGGCGACCGCCACACTAACAACATCCTGCTCGACACGAAGACGGGCGAGCTGGTGCACATCGACTTCGGGATCACCTTCGAGGCCGGCCGCGCGCTGCGGGTGCCGGAGCTCGTGCCGTTCCGCATGACCCGCGCTTAGCTGCCTCGATACGCCCGTTTTGAATCGCAACACGTGCCGTTCTTAAAACGCCCGTGCCAATACGCTGCGTGTTGGCTCAGCGTATTGGCCCACGTTTTGGCGAAAGTACCGCGTCAGATCTGCGTTTTCAGTCCACGTGTTGAGTTCCTTATCAACACGCTACGTGTTGCGTGTTGCGTATCGGGGCAGCTAAGGACCCGCGACATGGTCGCGGGGCTGGGCTGCATGGGGACCGGCGGCTGCTTCCGGCGGTGCTGCGAGACCTCCATGCAGCGGCTCCGCGACAGCGCGCCCCTGGTGAACGCCGTGGTGGACGTCTTCGTGCAGGCCGGGGGTGGGCAGAACCCCCACTCTGGCACGTCGATTGGTGCATTGTCCCTCTTCGGCTCTCGACGGGGTGCCGCGGCCGTCACTCTCCAGGCCTGCGCCCGCCAGGTTGGGGCCCGAGGCCGTTTTTACCAAGCCACGTTCTACTGAAGGGGGTTTTTAAGGGAACAAAAGATGACATGAACAAAAAAAAATCGGAGGTCCGCGCGGATTTCTTGGATCGGCGCTGGACCCCCCTCCCTGGCGCGCGGAGCGCGCCAGGGGCGGCGCCGGAGGCGCCGCCGGGGGGGCCCCAGCGCCGATCCGAGAAATCCGCGCGGACCTCCGAGTTTTTATGTTTATGTCACTTGTTGCTCCCCTAGTTCTGTCCATCCCCGAGCAGGACCCCACGTACCAGTGGCGCCTGTCGGCGCAGCGCGCGCAGTCCCGCCAGCAGGAGGCCTCGCCCTCCGCGGAGGCCTCTGCGCCGGGCGGCGGGCCGGACGCGCCCACCGTGGCGCGGGCCTTCGCAGGCCCGGGGCCTCGCAGACGGTGTCCGTGCATGCAGGTGGGGCCGGAGGATCGCGCCGCAGCGCCGATGCACCGGCGATGCCGCCGGGAGGGGAGCCCGAATTTCCCCACCAGGGGAGGAAACAGTGGCATAAGCATGAAAACTCGGAGGTCCGCGCGGATGTCTCGGATCGGCGCTGGGCTCCCTGGCGGCGCTTCCAGCGCCGCCCCTGGCGCGCTCCGCGCGCCAGGGAGGGGGGTCCAGCGCGGATCCAAGAAATCCGCACGGACCTCCGAGTTTTTATGTTTATGAATTTTTCCGTTCCCCTATCCACGCCGACGTCGCCGATGCGTCGCCGATGCGGCGAGATCCTCGGACCCCATCTATAGCCAAGGCGCTGCAATGAAGAACAATCCCACCAGGTGGTCTAGCGATTTTTTCCTTCCACTGAAACCACCTTCCCTTCGGGGAGGGGTGCCCCCCCTCCCCTCCCAGGGCTTTTTTGGGGAGGGGCTGCGAGTCATCAGAGGGCCCGTTTTCGCTCAAGATGGCTCCAAGAGGGCCCCCGATGCTCCAAGATAGCCTCCAAGATGCCTCAAGATAGCGCAAGACCGCTCCAGATGATCTCCATCATGCCTCCAAGAGGCCCCAAGAGGGCCACAAGTCGTTTCCACGTGCTCTCGGCGACCCCTCGGGACACTTCCAAGAGCCCCAAATCCTTCAAACATTTAGGGAAAATATATGATTGTTGCTGTCTCGCCGTTTCGCTTCCGATGCGCTTGGGGGGCCTCAAGATGGCCCCAAGATGGCCCAAGAAGGCCCAAAGAGGGGCCCCAGAGGCGCCCAAGACGGCACCAAGATCGCCCCAGAGCACCCCAAGAGGGCTCCAAGAGGGTCTCAGGAGGCGGCCTTGAGGGCCCCGGGGGGGGTACCTAGATCTGTACCCCCCCTCCTTTGATCGTGAGCTTCCAATATGGCCCTAAGAGGCGCTTCACGGCTCCCAAAAGAGCCCCAAGACAGCCCCAAGAGGGCTTCAAGAGGACCCCAAGAGGACGCCAAGACGGCCCCAAGAGGGCCCCAAGACTCCCCAAAAGAGCCGTGGTCGTCATCGTGGTCGTCGTCGTCTTCCTCCTCCTCCTCCACCTCCTCCTCCTCCTCCTCCTCCTCCTCCTCCTCCTCCTCCTCCCCTTGCCCCCACGCGGCCCCCAGGGATGGCCAGAAGAGGCCTTCCAAGGCCACCCCCTTGCTCCCAGAGACCTCTCTGTTCACCCTGGGTGCTCGCTCTGCTTCACTAGATGTGTCTCTTCGCCCCTTTTGCCGTCAGCTCTCAAGGCCGGAAAGAGCGCGTTCTGTGGTCGCTTGGAAGGGGGGGGTTTAACCAGACCCCCCCCCCTGGACGGAGGGGGGGTGTTAGACCCCCCGCCCCTTTCCTCCCCTGCTTCCCTTCTCCTCGGGCCGGCGCTTGCGTCGGCGGCGGCTGGCGGCGGCGGCGGGGAACGACGATTTCCTTTTCTGGGCCGGCGCCGGCGCCTGCGGAGGCAGGCGGCCGCGGCGGGGAGCATCGACGAGGACTACGGTGGTGGTGGTGGTGGTGGTGGGTTGTGGTGGGGCGGTGGTGGTGGTTGTGGTGGTTGTGTGGTGGTTTGTTGTTGTGGTGGTGGTGGTGGTGGAGGTGGTTGGTGGTGGGTGGTGATGGTGGTGGTGGTTTGGTGGTGGTGCGGTGGTGGTTTGTGGTGGTGGTGGTGGTGGTTTGGTGGTGGTGGTTTGGTGGTGGTGTGGTGGTGGGTTGTGGTGGTGGTGGTGGTGGGTTGTGGTGGTGGCGGTGGTTTGTGGAGGAAGGTGGTGGTGGTGGTGGTGGAGGTGTTGTGGTGGTGGTGGTGTGGTGGTTTGTGGTGGTGGTGGGTTGTGCTGCTGGTAGTGGTGGTGGTTGTGGCGGTGGTGGTGGTGGTAGATTGTGGTGGGTGGTGGTGGTGGTAGTGGTGGTGGGTTTTTGTGGTGGTGGTGGTGGTGATGGTGAGTTGTGGTGGTGGTGGTTGTGGTGGTGTGGTGGTGGTGATGGGTTGTGGTGGTGGTGGTGGGTTGTGGTGTGGCGGTGGTTTGTGGAGCTGATGCTGGTGGTGGTGGTGGCGGAGGTGGTGGTGGTGTGGTGGTGGTTGTGTGGTGGGTTGGTCGTGGTGGATATGGTGGGTTGAGGCGGTGGTGTGGTGGTAGTGGTGGCGGTGGTGGTAGTGGTGGTAGTCGTCGCTGCGTCCCCGCCGTCGCCGGCGCCAGCGCCGGCGCTGCTGGCCGCCGCCAGCGCCGGCGCCGGCGCCATGCGGGGGGGGGGGGGTTTAACTCCCCCTCCCCTGGGCTGCCTCCGGTCATCGTCGCTGCGTCCCCGCCGTCGGCGCTGCTGGCGGCCGCCAGCGCCGGCGACGGCGCCAGGGGGGGGGGGGTTGGGGAAGGGGGGGGGTTTAGGGGGGTGGGCCACCCCCCGGTTCGAAACGCGCCGCCGAATGTTCCCAAGGCAAGCGCCCGTGAAGCGCGTTCTCCAAGGCCAGGGTCTCTGAATACGCTGGTGGGGATACGCGACGCATGAAAAATTTGGATTCGGAGGGGGCTCGATGTTTCTTACGTTCCTCCACTGCTGTTCCTCTTGCCCTCCTGGGCCACGGAGGCGCTTCGCTCCTTGTCTAGCGTTCCTTATTGCAGCGGCCTGGCTGTACTCGGACCCCATATGGGAGGCCCCCTATCAGGGGGGAACGAGATGGGCAGCGCGGAGGGTAACGAGATGGCGAGGCGGGCCCTGCAGGCCGTGCAGGGCAAGCTGCGCGGGGAGCACGACTCGGCCTCGATGCTGGGGGTGCCCGCGCACGTGGGGTGGGTGATCCAGGAGGCCACGAGCATCGCGAACCTCGCCGCGATATTCCCCGGGTGGTCGCAGTGGGTCTGACTTTCTAGAGCCCAGGCGCGCTGCTCGCCTGAGCCTTTCTGGCCTCCTCTGGTTCACCCTCTCATTCGCCCCGGCTGCAGTTAGGTTAGGCGGTCGTGCGGGCGCAGAGCGGCAAACATTATATTGGCGAAGGACCCAACCAGATGCTGTTGTGGGTACCGTCGTTGTGAAGATCGCCTTCAGTGGATCTCCTCGTGGGGTTTTGTGTGGAGCTGCGTGTGGGGCCACGAAACGTGGGAAACATATTAGGGGATGGGCGGGGGGGCCACATGCGAACGGTGGCGTTGGAAAGTTGGATGGAGCTCCTTTGGGGGCCATGAACCGTGTGAGGGGTGTGCCGAAATGGGCGGGGGACCGCTTGCACACGTCGCCATTGGAACCGTCGGTGGACCTCCCCACGGGGACAATAAACGTTTGAAGGTTGTGCCGACATTGGTGGCGGGGATGCATTCGGAGGGTCCGTGTAAGTTTTCGGTGACGTTCCCTGTGGGGCCACGAAGCGCGCGAGGGGTGTGCCGAAATATGCGACGGGGACGCATGCGGACGGCACCACGTGGGGCCGTTGGTGGAGCTCCGTGTGGAGTGTGCCGACGTAGGTAGCGGGGACGCATGCGAACGTAGCCATTGGCGCCTTGGGTGGAGCTGCATGCAGGGCCGCGAAGCCTGCGAGGGGCGTGCCGAAATGAGTGGCGGGGACGCATGCGGGCAGCAGCATCGGGTCGTTTGGTGGAGCTCCCCATTGGGCCACGACACGTGTGAGGGGTGTGCCTACATGAGCGGCGGGGACGCATGCGAACAACACCATTTGGGCTTTCGGTGGAGGTCCCTATCGGGTCACGACGCGTGCGCGGGGTGTGCCGAAATTAATGGCGGGGACGCATGCGGGCGGCACCACGTGGGACCTTGGGTGGGGCTCCCTATGGGGCCACGAAGCGTGCGAGGGGTGTGCCGAAACTGGTGGCGGGAACGCATGCGGGTGGCACCATGCGGGGCCTTGGGTGGAGCTCCCTAATGTCAGCGTGTAGCTAACAGAAACAAGCGAGGCGCGCGATTCAAAAAACGGTTCCCGTGCTCAAGCGAATCGCGGAGGAGGCGCCGCCAAATTGAAACGCACGGCGGCGGCGCTGGTGATTCGCGCAGACGCCCAGCCCGCAACAGGAGGGCGACAGGCGCGACGCAAGCGGCACCGCTTCATCGGAGGGGGACAGCAGCGCCTCCGTTATATGGCCAAAATGGCCACAGACAGGAAAGAAGAGGAGGCGGGGGAAAGAGGCGCCTCAGCTTGCGGGATGTGCCGACATGGCTACACATAAGACATGGACTAAGGGGGGAAAGCGACAAAGGCAGGCGGAAAGGGCTCTTCCTTCTCCTTCCCCGCCCCCCCATTCCATTACAATACCGGACGACGACGGCGACGGCGACGGCGGACGACGACGCATTGCAGATGCTACATGGGGGGAGGGCGGGGGGGCTGCGCACGCCCGCTGTGCTCACGGCGAAGACGACGACGGCGAGGACGACGACGAAGACGACGACGACGACGACGACGACAGCGACGGCGACGGCGACGGCGACGACGGCGACGGCGATGGCGGTGACGACGGCGATGGGGACGATGACACGACGACGACGACGACGACGACGACAACGCGACGCGCGGCGACGAAGACGCATTGCGGATGCCCCATGGGGGGGGCTGAGTAGGCGCGCCGCAGTCGACGACTGGGACCACGGACCACGACGACGTCAACGACGACGACGGCGATGACGACGACGACGACGACGACGACGACGACGACGACGACGACGACGACGACGACGACGACGACGACGACGACGACGACTGTGGCGCGTCAGTAGTCCGCCCAAGAGGGGGAAGCACTTCGCCTCGGATGTATACGACCCCTTTATACGAGAGGCAATCGTTTTGAGGCTGCCGTGCAGGGAGATACACGATCCCCTCGGCGGCGCCCACGACGACCCCCTGGCGCGCGTGATTCAAAACATGTTTCGCGCCCCGCGGGATCCACTCATCAGCCCCAGGGGGGGAGCCTCATTTGGTAATCACAAGCTGACATTATGGGGCCACGAAGCGTGTAAAGGGTGTGCCGAAGTTGATGACGGGAACACATGCGGGCGGCACCATTTGGACCTTGGGTGGGGCTTCCTATGGGGCCACGAAGCGTGCGAGGGGCGAGCCGAAATGAGTGACGGCGACGCATGCGGGCGGCACCATTTTGGCATTGGGTGGAGCTCCCGGTGGGGCCACGAAGCGTGCGAGGGGTGTGCCGAAATTGGTGGCGGGAACGCATGCGGATGGCAACACGTGGGACCTTCGGTGGGGCTCCCTATCGGGCCGCGACACGTGTGAAGAGTGTGCCGAAATGAGTGGCCGGGACGCGTGCGATCGGCACCACTTCGGCCTTGGGTGGAGTTCCTCTGGGGCCACGAGACGTGTGAAGGGTGTCGCGAAAGGTTTGACTGGTGCGGTGGGCAAGGGTAGGGATGTGAGGAGGGAGGAGCGTGAGTAGGAGGAGAGGAGGAGGGGAACGCGGGGCGCTGTCTCTTCAAAACGAGAGCCCAACACTACAGGATGGTTGGGAAAACAAGCACGGGGGCGTCCTCGGCTGCGCGCCCGCAGGCGAGGCTATCCCGCCGCCGTGCCCTGGGGGCCGTCAGGTGGTCTTCGGGCGGGCCAGCGCTGCGGCGTGGATCTGCGGGAAGCAGGGCTCCGCCCTGCTCGCTGCACACAGCTCGCTGCCGCGCGACCACCCGCGCTCCCGGGCGCTCGCGGCCCGCCCCCTGCCGAAACCACGCTGCTGCAGCAGGGTACGCCCGCTGCGGCCCCCTCGCGCGGGGCCCCGGTCCCCCTGCCCCCACAAGGCCGGCCACAGTTGGGGGAGCCCGTTGGGGGGGTGAGGGCAGCTCTCTGTCTCTCTCTGTCTCTCTTTCTCTCTGAGTTTTGCAAGGTTTCTCGGTGGTCTCTGGGGGCGCTTGTGCCGCCCCTGAGGCCGTGAGTCACAGAAACGATCCCGGACAGAAGCTGTCCCTCGGGATGTGGGCCGACTGGTGCGGGGACCCCGTGCATGTGGACGCTGCTCGCAGCGCCCACTTTCTCTACACCCGTTTGCCCACTTCCACCACCTCCTCCTCTTCTTGTTCCTTCTCCTCCTCCTCCTCCTCCTCCTCCTCATCATCATCATCATCCTCCTCCTCCTCCTCCTCCTCCTCCTCCTCCTCCTCCTCCTCCTCCTCTCCTCCTCTCCTCCTCTCCTGGGCCTGACTCCCAACCGCCGACGCGCACAGAGCACGAGGAGGGAGGAGAAGGCCCAGGAGGAGGAGGGGCGAGCCCCCCCTCGCCTCCCCCCGCCCTTACTGGGGAAGCTCCTACATTCAGTAGGGGGGGTAGGGGGGGGGGGGGGCGCGGTTTGGGGTGGCCTCTGCTCCCTCCCCATCGTCCCCCCCCCCCCCCCCCAGGGCCCGCCCTCGCTGTCTTCCGCCGTGCCCGGTGGATCGCCTCGTGCTCCGCCCAGGGCGTCGTAGGTGAGCGCCCGCCCCCCCCTGGTGGCGGAGCGCCGCCCAGGAGGCGAGGGCCGAAGGCCTGGAGGGGGGCCTTCGCTCGGGCAGGTGCCCGGGAGGCTTCGGTCCCTGGAGGACTTCCTTTCCCCGGACCCCGTCGGGCCACGACAAAATCACGACGGGAGGTTTTTGCCAGTTTTCGGCCTCTGGGGGCCCTCGCCGGGCAAAAACGACTCGGGCTGAAAACCCGGCCTGGGGGAATTGGTTGGGGGTCCACATCATGAGATCCCCCCATCAAGAGTGGGGTTCTTGTTTTCTCTGGACATCCCGCGCAGGAAGTGGAGCACCCCTCCCTTCTCACTCACACACTCGCACGCTCACATCAACATAAGCATCCTCATCAGCACCGCATCGCCATCACTTACACACTCGCACACACACTCTCATTCTCCAACTGACTCACCCACCCACAACTACGACTCATCACTAATCATCATCATCATCACCATCACCATCATCATCATCATCATCATCATCATCATCATCATCATCATCATCATCAGCATCAGCATCAGCATCAGCATCAGCATCAGCATCAGCATCAGCATCATCATCATCATCATCATCATCATCATCATCATCCTCATCCTCATCCTCGTCATCCTCATCATCCTCATCATCACCATCAGCATGATCATCATGATCATCATGATCATCATCACTACCATCAACATCATCAGCAGCATCATCCTCAGCTCATCATCGTCATCGTCATCACCACCATCATTTCCATAACACCATCGTCAACAGAGCCTCGTCTGCGAGTGAATTGCGAGGATGTCGCAGGCGGAAGCCCCCTCCCTATGGGGCCCGCCGCTCACATGTTAATCCGAGCGGATCATCGGAATCTTGTAACTGTCGTCATCCATGGGCCCGTGAGGCTTGAAAATGAAGGAAGTATCAGGCGGGAATTTCGTCTGTGAGTAAATTGCGAGGAAGTCTCAGGCGGGGGCTTCTTCCGTATGGGGCTCGCCGCTCACGTTTTCAATCCGAGCGGGTCACCGGGATCTTGCAACAGTCGTCGTCATTTTTGGACCCCTGAGGCTTGAATACGGAGGAAGTATCAGGCGGGAGCCTCGTTGGTTAGTGAATCCCAAGGAAGTCTCAGGCGGGAGCCACCTACCTATGGGGCCCGCCGCTTATTTGTTGATCCGAGCGGCAATCGCAATCTTGTAACTGTCGTCATTTTTGGGCCCCTGAGGCTTGAATATGGAGGAAGTATCAGGCGGGAGCCTCGTATGTGAGTGAATTGCAAGGAAGTCTCAGGCGGGAGCCCCCTCCGTATAGGGCCCGCCGCTTATTTGTTAATCGGAGCGGGCCATCGGGATCCTGTAATTGTCGTCACTTTTGGACCCGTGAGGCTTGAATATGGAAGAATTATCAGGCGGGTGGCGGCTGCGCTGTACATTGCGCTGGACAGT